AAGGGAAGGGAAGGGAAGGGAAGGGAAGGGAAGGGAAGGGAAGGGAAGGGAAGGGAAGGGAAGGGAAGGGAAGGGAAGGGAAGGCAGCCGTGCCTGGGAACCAGCAGTTCCCAGGATGGGCGAAATGGCTGCGAGGGGCAGCGGGAGGCTGCTTGTGGGGAGCAGAGATTGTGGGGAGCACAGCTTGTGGGGAGCAGAGCTAATGGGGAGCACAGGTCGTGGGGAGCAGAGCTAATGGGGGGCACAGCTTGAGCCCTGGGCTTTGGGAAATGCCTGAGGTTTGCCCCAGCCCCCCCTGAAAGGGGAGGAAGGAGTGAGAGCCCCCAGCACGAGGGCAAAGGTGGTAGGGCAGCCCTGAACTTCCAGCACAGCTGCTCTGTCTTGCAAAGGTTGGTTTTGGCACCTCTCCTCCTCCCCTGCTGCTTTCAAAAACATCGAGCTCACTTGGTGGCCCACAGCTCTGCAATTTTGCAAGGATTCTCAGAGATGGTCCCTGTGTAGAGCAGCTGTTTCTCAGGGATCCCCACACAGGATAAGGCAATCTAAGATTTAGTAAAAAAAATTAAAAAGCAGGAATCAAAAGAGATTTTAAAAAAACACTCCAACAACCGACCTCCCCTACCTGTCCACAAGCCTTCTGTTTAGGATCCTGCAGTTTTGATGCCTGCTCTGGGATGGGATTTGGGAGCAGAGGGTGTTTCCAGCAGGCTTGCAGGGACACGGCAGCGTCCCTCCCGCTGCCTGGAGGCTGGAGGAGCCACCTCCACCCGTGTCCCTGCCCACACAGCAGCATCCTTGTGCAATAGGCAGTGTGAGGGACCTGTCCCCAGTCGCCAGGCTCGGCCCTGCCTGACACACCATCCATCGGGGCTCAGGGGATATGGCACTTCTCGGTATTTCAGGTGACAGGAAGACTCGCTCCCCCTTTCCCAACAAGGGCTAAGTCTAGTTAATGCAATCTCAAATTTAGCCAGGTTTGGCATTTGTGGGCTCCTCGCTTCCCTGTGTGATCCTGCTGTCAGCCCGGGTTAGCTCAGGGCCTGTTTTTCCTGGAAACTTGTCTCTCAGAGCAGCCGGAGGAGGATGCTCTCAGAAAGAGCAGCAGAACGAGGCAGTGCCTCTCATCCCCTCACCCAGCTTGCAGCAACCATCCCTTTGCATTTCCCAGTGTCTGCACTGCACCACGGCTCACCTGCGCTCCAGGGGTCTGTTCCTCCTGCAGAACCCAGCACCGGTGCTGCTGCAATGTTCCCAGCCCATGGGGGTGCCTGGCTGCCCACACCCCCTGCATCCTGCCTGCATGGCACTGCCACCCAGGGAATCCCCGGGGCCACTGGGTCCCAGCTTGATCTGCACCCCTGGGCCCGTCCTCCATCCGCCTCAGCCCCGGCCAAGATTAGCACACACACAAGGAATCAGCAAGAACTCGGTGGCACAAGCTGAAGCCATCAATCAACTCCCAAGCAGAATTTCCAGCCAGCCTCGGGCAGGGCCCAGCGTTCCAGGTATCAGCAACACCATTAGAGAGGCGAGGCAGGGAAGAGAGACAGGCACAGGCTGGTGAAATACTTTAGGAAAGGCAAAAAGCTGGGAGAGTTGGTCTTAGTGGGAATCACATCCCACAACCGCTGGACCCATAACCTCAAAAAGGCTTTGGAATTGCTTTTTGCATGACCCTTACTGAGTCATGTCCAAGTTAAAATACACATAGGGGTATCTGGGTTAGATTTCCAAGATACGCTCATATTCTATGTAAGGTAACATAAAACAGCAATAAAACCGAGGTCAGCTAGTTCAAATTCCCCATTTTCCCCTGCCAGTACTGGATCTATAGTAAGCAGCCTGGGAATTAATTCACAGGGTTAGTGAGGAGAAAAAAACCGTTCTCTTAAAATTAACTAATGAATTATAATAACAAAATTAGGGTAGGTTAGGTCTGATGTAACTGATGGGCAACTCAGTTCACACACACCATGTTTTTAGGCACACAAACTCCCCTCCCTAGGGGGAAGGGAGAAGAAGCAAAGGCAATACCAGCATTTAAGTCCCTGTGTTAAAAGTACAGTCACCCCACTAAAAAAAAGCACCTCTCAAACTGCCCTGGCAGGCCAAAGACCACCACAGTGCCTGGTGTTCAGAGAAGCCCACCCCACCCCATCTCCCTGTCTTAGGCACTGGATTTGGAATTTTAAAACACAATCTCAGCATGAATTGGAGAAAATCAGCCTGGCGAGGTCTGGCCGCCGCTCAGAGCTGACCACGGCTGTGTCGCAGTGGGGCAGTGGCTCTGCTTTCCCAAGAGTGGGAAGCTGAGCAAGTATCCTGCCCCAGTTTTACATCCCTCTGTGCAAGTCTCCTCTTGGCAAAGCAGTCCAGGAGATTTGAGGAAGGTAAAGGCAGCTTCTAAAATAAAAAAAGTCCCTCCTTACACTGCACCCAAGGCACTCAGCAGCCTTGGAGCTGGGAAGTGCACCCCACACAGGGTGATCTGGAATTAATACTCAGGGGTCAGGGGGGAAAGAATTGTGCACTATTGCCAAAAACCTGATTATTTGACAGTGGGATGCAGCAGAGAACTGACATTTAAAGCCCATTTTCTTGCAGCACTACCAGTATTCACTGGCAAGGAAGAGCCATCAGATCAACTGTCTGCTGTTGCACTGAGAAAACCAGCTGAAAATGTCCTTCATCCAAAAGGCCACATGGCCACAACAGGATCATCCATCTTTACTTTAAAAATCCCTCAGGATGGAGGGTTTATATGTGCTCTGCCTGGTGGCATCAAAAAATCTGGAGGTTTAGCTCTCTTTTAAATAAGCAACCGTTACACCCCCTCCAGCTAAATCCCAGCGCCGCATCCTCGGTGTCCGCGAGGAGACCTTTTGGAAAGGCAGAGCACGAAGTCCTGCCAAAGCTGGAGGGGGAGGGAGAGGGGAGATATGCTGCTGGTTGTCTGAAAACCCTTGGCACATCTTTGGTTACAGGATGAAAAGGATGTGGTGCGAGGTTTGGCCACCTGATTCTGTAAGAAGCGCACCCAGGAGAGAAGGGAAGGAGGGGGTGGGAGCGTGGCTAATCCGACCATTCGTCCTCATCGAACTCGGAGGAGTCGTCCTCGGAGTCGCTGTACTCCACCGCGATGCGGCGGGACAGGATGGTGGCCACGTCGTTGCCCACAACATCCCGCTTCTCCTGCTCCCGCTGCTCCTCCACCTTGCGCAGCTGGAAGCCTGTTGGGGAGAAGGGAACGGAGGGGATCATGCCGAGGGCTCGGTCACACTGAAATCTCCCTTTGGCACAGAGCAAGGCAGGCTGGGTGTGGTGGGGTAGTGCTGGTGCTGACAGCCAGGACAGGCTGGCTGGGGAGGTGGAACGGGGAGCAAATCCCTTCTGTGCCCCTCCACAGGGTAACCCCAGTGCTGCAGCTTCCCCGACAAACCTGGATCACGCCAATTCCGGCACTGCCTCTCCAGAAGTGCTGGGGGAAGCAGAAAACCCAGCAGGGCGCTCACGAGGGTGGGCAGACAAGGAGGGACCACCAGGGACAAGCCTTGAGCAGCAAGGCAGTCACGCTGCTCCCAGGAGACAGCTCCCAGGGGTTTTCCAGAGGCAAAGGAGAGCGCTGGCAGGGGAACACAGCCTTACCTTGCCGAATAGCCGAAAGCAGGTCACTCCTGGCATCGCTAACCGCAGGCAAGGATGACTTGGGCTTGGATGCGGAGGTGTCGGAGGGCGGGGGGGGCGGGGGGCCATCCAGGCCGCCGGGGGCCAGCGGGGGTGGGCCTGGAGGGGGCGGCGGCGGCGGCGGCGGCGGCGCAATCCCGGTGCCCGGCTGCGACAGCGGAGCTGGCACAACACTGCAATAGTCGACTGCTGGGGGAGGGGGGGGCGGTGGAGGGGCAGCAAACTCGGGGTGAGGGGGGAAGGAGGGGGGCGAGGGTGGCGGGGGGGGTCCCGGGGAGGGGAAGCCCATGGCAGGTGGCGGAGGGGGGGTGCTTTCCATCAGTGGTGGTGGTGGAGGAGGAGCTGGAGGGGGAGCAAAGCCCGGCCTGGCTGCGGAGGGCGATCCGATCGGAGGAGCTGGTGGTGGGTGGCTCGGGCTAACCAGGCTGGATCGTTTGGGCCCTCCAGAACCAGAACCTCTTTGGTTGTCTACAGGATAGCTGTGGCAACAGAACAAGAGAGACAGGGAATCAGCCCCGGGGCCGGATCAGACTGTACAGTCTCCATGTTAATGCAAATCATGTGTGTTTGCTGCAGTCCAGACAAAAAAATCCAACTTCCAGCTTTAACTGATGTTTCCATGAGACCTCACTCCTTGGTTTTGGTTCCCTTGCACTGTTTCTTTTGGCCTACACCTCCAGAAAACAGAAAGCTTCCAGGGATGGCAGGAATGTTGTCCTCCATCCCATCTCTGAGGCTGACAAGAACATGAGCCGTCTCACCTCTGTCAGAGGCCAGGCAGGCACGTCCCAGCTCGGAGCAGCTCCTGGCTCCAGAGCCCCTGCCATCGCCCCTCCTCGCCGAGGTCAGGCCCGTGGCACACCAGGCAGGGATCAGGGATGTCTGCAGGATAAACTGCACAAGGAGGGCGGGGGTGCCAGGAAAGCATATGCTCTGAACACCTGCTGGGAATGGATCTCCTCCCTGGATTCCACAGCTCGGAGCTGGAGTGCAGCAGCCATGTCTCAGAGCTCACCGTGGGGAGAGAAGGGGAGGACGTGCCTTATGGAAAACACTAAGGCATGAGGGACTGAATCTCCCGTTGTGGAGGCTCTGCTCATCCCACAGGACTTCACTGCCCATGTGACAGTGGGACATCCTATGCAAGGGAAGCCCAAATTGAGACTTCCTTCCATGGCAAGACAGAAAAATAAGGTACCTTTGCCACAAAAACATCAGCATTTTTATCAGTGCTGATCCAAAACCGACTCCTGGAGATCAAATCTACCTCCCAGGGTTCCTTAAAAACAACCATCAAAACAAAACCAGAAGAGGGGAGATCTGTGGGGTTGGGCAGAGATCTAAGCAACTGTGTAAGGCAATGAGAACTTCATCTGAGAGCTCGTGTCTGCTGTGCCCGAGAGGCACAGGCTGCAGAGTGCAGTGCTGGGTCTCTCTGACACATCAGAAGAGCCTTTGCTGCAGCATTGCTGCCTTTGGATAAGATGGAGAGAAGCCAAGCAGCCCTGTCTATCAGACAGACTTTCTCTTGTTCCTCTTGACTCTGTTTTAATGTCTTTAAGAAAAAGAAAAAGTCCGCTCTTGTGTCGCCCTCTGCGTCTTGAGCCACTGCTGGACCGTAACTCTCATCTCTGGAGGTGCCTGGGAGTCACCATTTCATTCAGTCCGAAGTAAATGACCTGAACTCGCACCCAAGTCTCTGGGAAGAAGGCAGCTGCTATGCTCAAGTCCTTGAGACTTATATACATCTCCATCTCCATTGCCCACGTCCTGCATTTCTCACAGATCAGTGCAAAAGAGGTTAAAGAAGCTGTTCTTTGCAAAGCTCTGTCATGGAATATCCTGAGCAGGAAGGGACTCACACGGATCATCATGTTCAACCCCTGGGCCTGCACAGGACACCCCCAAGAATTCCACGATGTGCAAATGGAACACAAGGAACATGCTATGGAACAACTGTATTGGAAACCATGGCAATGGGGCCAAGCCATTCACTGGGACTCTGCTGTGGAATAAATTGATCTAGCTCTCCCCTTCTGCCTGGGATTGGTGGTGGTGGCTGGGATCCACGGAGAGCTGTGCTGCCTGTGTCCTGTCCCTGCCTGCAGTTGCACTTCCCTTCCAGACAGCAGCATTCTGGTTCCCATACAACGCCCATTAGGAAGTTCTGCTGAACTATCTCAGCCTGTCTCATGTCATCCTTTTACACCACCTACTACTCCTCGGTGACAGAAGGGATCCCGTAGGCTTACCTAAATTCCACCGGGGGTGGAGGCAGGCTGTCATCTGGGAATGAGGGAGGTGGTGGCACAATGGAGTCAGTCTGTGGCGGTGGCGGGTAGCAGTTCCCGTCCATGCTTTCGTTGGAGCCGATGCTGCCGTTCTGATACACCATGTTGGAGGGGTACCTGGGAAAGGCAAGAGAAACACTTTGTGGAAAGAACTCAAGGCTATGTCTAAAGCTCATTTTTTCCCCAGAGATTGTCCAGAGAGGTTGGCTGCCCCTGGATCCCTGGGAGTGTCCAAGGCCAGGTTGGATGGCGCTTGAAGCAACCTGGTCTAGTGGAAGGCGTCTCTGCCCATGGCAGGGGGTGGAATTGGATGGACTTTAAGGCCTTTTCCAACCCAAATCAATCCATGACTTCACATTATTAAAAAAAGCCCTTTACTTCTCAGAGACTCCTATATTGAGAACCACACAGGTCTCTATGTGTTTGCTTTGCTTGATGTAATCCTTTGGTTAAAATTTGCTCAGGTGCTGCCCTGTTTATGGCTGCCACACACCAGAACAGCAGGAGTATGTATTTTAATAAACAAGCAAACACCTGAATAAATGCATTTTTCTTTAACACTCAATTTTGTAAAAGCACTTAAGAGTGTTTTGACCAACTTGGACTTAAAGAACTTGCAGTTACACTGAGTATCATCAGGGGCAAAAACGGGAGATACTCAAAGATGCCGAAAAATAAGCTCGAGAACAGAATATCAAAATGGAAACCATTAAATGGTTTTTAATGCCATTAAAACAAGTATTCAAAGCTGGAACAGTACTGAAAAGATACTCTCATGCTTTCAGCGCACTCATTTCACTGTGAGGAGGGGGAACCACCCTATTTTTGGGGGCTCTGGACCCCAAGTGAATCCAAATGCAAGAACACACTCACATGAGAAAAGAGAGGAGCAAGAAAATGGTGCTGTTGTGCTGCTCGATTCCCCTGCTAGAAACCAAACCTGTTCTCTTATTAAACTAAAAGCAAGTTTTATTTTTAGCTGGAGAGTGTGATTTAAAGAGAGATTTTTTTCTTATATGAAAGGAAGCTGCAAGGAAGAAGAGCATTGTGGGGAATTCGGTCTGCTTCCAGCCTTGCTGGTGTCAAAAGTTAAATGAATTCCCAAGCCAGAAGTGCTAAAGAGAGAGATGTGTAGCTTGAAATACTTGGATGGGGACAGCCCCCGCTTCAACTTTAGGGTGTGAAGAGCCATTTGTGAAATGTAACAAAGCCATCACACAATGGCACCGAGATGCCACCCTGGTCGGGTGTGAGGGAATGAGGGAAGGGCATCGCCGTGGGGCAGAGCCAAAGCTCCCAACACCTCTGTGCCCACAGGCAGCGAGAGCAGCCAGAGCCACCTTGTTCCAACCGTGCAGCTCCCTGATTTATTTGGCAAATTTTAAATCAGCAGGCGGATTTGCTTTGGAGAATCTGATTAGTGGCAGTATCGATCCATGGATCCCGAGGAGCTGCAGCACAGGGTGGACTGCATCCCAATCACCCAGCCCCAGAGCTGCTTACCCAGCAGGACCATGCTTGTCCTTTGACTCGACAAATTCTTGTCCCATTTTCAGCTTCTCCCACTCCTCTTTCCGGGTTTTGATTTTCCGTGGATTCACATTTCCTCTGTTCGGATTCTCCTTTTTCTCTTTCTAAGAGAGGAGGAATCAAACACAAGCTTTATTTTGCTTTAAATTCATTGGGAATAGAGAGGAATAGGACAGACCTGGAGCAGTTACAACAAGACTCAGTCTCAAAGAGGATTTTTAGTTTACTTTCTTGATTGCTGTGCTCTCCAAAGATCTTCCATATAAAAAAGCTGGAGCACAGACAACATAAAAAAAGCCAGACAGCATCAGGTTGCCCAGAGCAGCCCAGACTCGATGCCATCCTCACCCCCCAGCACAAGCAGCTTGAGGGCAGAGTAAAAGCTCGGTTTCCCAAATCAATTTAGGTTTTGGCCTCCGTGTCAAGACGCCCAAATTTCATCTTCGCCCTCATGGTGGTCAGTGTTCTGGGCTGCAATCTGTTTTCATGATTAATACTCCAGTTGCTCAAAAGCTAAATAAAGTACTTTAAGACTACATCTCTTATGCTATGATATAATTTAAGGCCTAATGACAGTGGCATTTGGAAAAACCAATTAGAGGTATCTTTGTTCTCTTTTTTTAATTAACAAGGATGTGGATAAACCGATGAAACTTCACTGAATTGATCCCATAGGAATCCAAAAGTGCAAACCTGAATTTTGGACAGCAAATTTGGAGTCCAACATTTATTAACACTTCCCACTTCCTCCTCCTCCCTTCCTCACCCTATGTTTCCGCTTTTCCTTCATGATATCCTTGGTGTCCTGAAGCATTTTCTCCTTCCAAAGGTCGAAGAAATATGAAGGATCTGTGTAGAATTTAAGTGCCTCTTTGCCATCATCCCTGGAACAGGGGGAGGAAAAAACCACACATACAAGGATCAGGTCACATATTTCTTGAAAGGAAACACAAGGCAGTATCTCAGATGACAGTTTGGAAGTGCAGTGAGATGGTCACAAGTGCTGTTCTTGCCTCTGCCCCCATTTCAGAAAGGAAGAGACCCCCACCTCAGTCAACCCAGCTCTCCCACATCCCACTCCTTTTGCCCTCACACAAACCCTCCATCACTCAGCACCTGAAGAGCTCAACTGCCATGAACAATCACCAGGAGAGCAGCAGGTCTCTCACTTCAACTCCCTTTTGTTTGTGCTGTATTTTGGTGTGAAAAACCTCCTCCTCCAGCTCAGGAACCCTAAATCAGCCCAGCAGCGTCCTTGAAGCTCCTGAGTGAGCGCACACAGACTCCCTCTCCTCCCACTTTGCAGTGCAGCCGCGTCTGGCAGGAGACAGCTGCCTCCAGCTATCTGTAATTACTTTTTACCTGCTCAGAAGATATTTATGGATGTAGGATAAGTCTCTGGATTCTGACCCCCTTTACTTCTACTACCTACAAGATGGAATCAGAGTGGGACTGCTCAGAACTGGTTACACAGCCAGTGTAGGTTCCACCAGATGTCTCAGACCATGCAGTGGAGGCCACAGGAAGCATCAGCAGCAGCCTGCTGCACCCACCTGGGTGAGAGCCACCTCCAGGTGAGTGCTCTGCATCTCACACTGCTCCTCTGGAAAGGAGCCATTGGGCTACGGAGCAGCACAAGAAAAATGCCTCATCTGCAGACACCCAGCATGGCTCTGCAGAGCCAGGCATGCCTGACCACAGGGCACTCACAAAAGTGACAGCAGAAAACCAAAAAGATAATTTTCTAGCTACATTCATTTGTATGACCTCAAAAGCAAAGTTTCCCATAATCCAAAGGACAGAGATTTCCTGGCAGATTTGTTTGGCAACTCAATTTCCCAGTGGAAACAGCTACTTCAGTGCAACACAGCATGGGGAAGGAGCTCCCTGGCAGGATGGGGGGAAGAGGTTCTTCTCTGCCAGGGAACAAGGAGGTATTGCAGCTCTACCTGTAAGGTGAGAGGATGTTGAGAGGTGGAGGGGTGTTGCAGGTCCTGTAGGTTTCAAGGACAGGTACAGGGAGAGAATCTCTGTCAAAAAGCTTCTGGTCCTGAGTGGTGGAGCTTTTGAAGGCCTTCCTGGTGTTAATGCCTTGCAAGGAGACTGTAAGGAAGAGGAGAGAACAAGTGAAGAACAGCTTGACCCAGGCCAGTTACACTGAAGCCCAAGCAGTGAACATCTGATTTCAGTTGGAGTTCTTGGCATGCTTTGCAGTTCTCAAGGTCAGGGTTCCTTTTCCCAGAGATCCCTTGGGAAACCCATCCAATCTCCAGCGTGCTGCCAAGATCTGCTGCTCCATCAACACAGCTCTCCCTCGAGTGGCCCACGGGCTTTGGAACCCCTGTGCCCAAGTTCAAGCAATTCATCCACTGCCACCCAACTGCCGAGAGCGAGTTCCCACATGGAGAGTCACTGAAGAGCAAAGCCAAAACAGCTGTCCAAGTGCTCTACTGGGAGGCAGGGAAGCAGTCCCTCTCAGCTCCAGAGAGCACATTCCAACACCCATGGCAGTGTCAGGCTGGGTTTACGGTGCTGAACCAACCACGCTGATTCAACGAGAACCTTCACCGTGCTCAGCCTGTGCTCCACTCCATTACCTTCCTCCTCTTTGGGATCCAGCTGAGTGACTTTGACTTGCAGGCGGTCAACTCTCTCGACGAGAATGCTCACCCGAGAGGCAAAGGTGTTGGCTTGAGTAAACAACTCTCCAAATATGTCTTCTGCAGATTTACCTGCAATATTAAAGTGTCCACATTACCCTTATGAACCACATCAGACCATACTCAGTCTCCCAACTTGTTTTCATGAAGAAAGAAAGCAAGAAAGCAAGAAAGCAAGAAAGAAAGAAGGAAAGAAAAGAAGAACCACTCTTCTTTTCAAGTTTGTCAGGGCTGAGTTTAACAACCTGGAAGAAAGTGCTTTGTTCCACCAAAACCTGACATTTCCAAGGGATCTTCAAGCAATAAGGAAACAATTGAGACACACTTTAAAGTCTATTAAAGTAACAAACTAAAGAGGGCTGACAACACTACACTGGTCTGAATGTGGATGGATCTGAAGGTCCTGTAAGATTCTTTGCTGTTCTGTTTATTAGACAAGGAAATATAGTTAGATTTTTATTGCTCTGGAGAATCTCAAAGGCTCTCAGTCTCCAGCAGGCCTGCCTCCAGGGGAGCTGGCACACATTTACAAGCTCAAAGTACTCTGGAAGCAGAGAGCAGACCCAGTCCTGGATCCCAAAGCTGGAGCTGAAACCACAGCTGACAGCACTGACCCTGCTGTTCCTTCAGGTGGCAGTGTCTGAAAAATTGATGCATTCACATTGATTCTAAATCATAACCAAAGGGGAACTTCTCAGTTGGGGACATTCTCTCTGGAACACCTTGGACTACCCAGTGAGCTGCCATGACAAGCAGCATCCATGGTTTGGGCCATGAGAGCGCCCGGGGCTCAGATCAGGAGCTGCATCACCTACAGGAGCAACAAGAACATGGCCTACAAGAGACAGGTAGACAGAGGTGGGAGACATAGAAGAAACCCATGAACTTTCACTGAGTCCTGTTTCTTTGTTCTGCTCCCAGGCACATCCCAAGACAGGGAGCCCCACCACTGAGCAGACTTGGCACCGACCGCAGACATGGGCCCGTGGTGTTCCCACTGATGGGAAACATTTCCAGCCACGGCTGCTGAGTACAAGGCTGCTCCCAATAAGCAGTCTGGTTTTGAAGTGCATCATCATATGGTCAACAGTTTGTTCTGGAATCTGTTATTCCTAAAGATCCTCTCCGACATTCAGGAAAGAAAAACCAGTTGGAAGTCTAATTCCAACAGCAATTTTGGAAAACATGGTTGTCTACAGAGTCAGAGAGACAAAGCACCCCTTGCACAAGGCAAGGTGAGGGCATCCCCCAAAGTCCAGCTGCACAAACACTCCCAGCTATCTAACTTGACATATCAACTCCTTGTTCCTGCTCCCAGGAGATCTCCTTACACTGCCAAGCACGGGGAACAAGCCAGGTTAAAATTCAACCTTCTCCACCCCTTTTGGTGGCAATGCCAGGTCCAAGTGTTTGTAGAAATCAAATGCTGAAGGTTAACTTCAACTGACCTCTTCCTTCCACCCTCCTAGACAATGCAGACTCCATATATGCTCAATTAACAAACCCAAACTCATAAGAAGGATTTCATGTTTGGAGATCTAAGGGCCAGCTAGCTCTCATTGTAACCATGTTTTGTGAAGCAATCTCCATTTTCATACCAGCACAGACCAGCTCTCCTATTTGACCAAAGAGAGTAAAAATTTATCTGTGAGAAAATGCTCAAAATGCTGAAAAGTTGTAATTTTGTTTGTACTTTCACAAGAAGAGAAAAACGTTTCTGAATTTTACAAGGAACTGCAACAAACACTAGGGGAAAATTAAGTCTTTGGTTTGCAAAGTATATTTCAAGTATAAAATAATATATTAGCAGCATTTTCTATACTGATTTTGACCCTGAAGAGAGAAGAAGAGATGGTCTGTGTTCACTTGCCTGTGTAAGTGTACCTGGAGCTATCACCCAGCATCTCATACATTGCCTGAGCTTCACAAACACTTTTAAATGGGGTAAGACGGAGATTAATTTTTTAGTTTAGTTACTTTGACTGCAAAAGTGCAGCTTACAATCAGAATTATCTTTGTCATGCACTGGCAGGAAGACAGACGGCATGATTTAATAGGTCCTTCCATCTTTAGCTTGTGGATTCTGTAAAATCACACAAAACCGCACAGTCGACTTATACAAAGTGCTCCCAGCTGCGATAGTAACGAAGGGTAAACTCACTGGAATATGAAAGTTTGACAAGATTTATGTTTGCATCTTTGTAAAGAGACTGTGGTGCACCAGGCATGGCTGATTATTCACTTGACAGGGCTGTCACAGCCTACTGAACTTGCTCTACGTTCCTGTAATAGTCAAGGTACAAGGAGAACAAGAATTTGTTTTTTGGAGAGAGGAAAGGGTGGGGGCAGGAGTTTGGTCATTTGGGTGCAAGCGTAGTCTAAGCATTGCTTTATTTAAATACTGCTGACCCTGGGGAAGTGGGTGGTGCTCAGCATTTCCCTCCCACCGGCCCTGCTCTCATACCAAATGTCAGCAGGAGGCACCTCTCCTCAGTTTCCCCCCCAGGTACCTGTGACTGCTCCAGCAGCTCACACCTTCTCCCCACATTCCCAAATCCAATCTCCCAGGGCACCTTCCCGAAGAAGAAACCAGGCTGTGGTTTGGCTCCCAGCGCTCCAGAAGCAGAGCAGCTTTGAGTATCTGTGCAAAGAAGGTCTAAACCTGTGGGATCTGGCTGGGGCTGTCACGCTAACCCAGAGCGTGTCTCTGAACACGGATGAGCCTTCCCCGCAGCTGGGCTTTGCACAGCTTTACTGACTCCTTCCTCACCATTTCACATGCACGAGATGGATTTCATTCACACTCCACAACCATCTTGGCTACCAGACCTAACAAATGAACAATGAGGGCCAGTTGAACGTGAGCAGAGAGCCTGGTCTCGCCTGTGCAGTGACATTTCTCCAACCCAACAGAATGTGACACCGACTGGCAGCAAACACGGGCCCAGATTTCAGTGACAGCCACGGTTTGCACTGCTGGAAAGAGGCTGCACCCAAACTTTGCCTGCCACATGGCGGAAGACAAGGGCTTGCTTTGCAGAGCAAGCAGAAGGGCTTGCAAACACCCCAGAGAAGCTAAACAATAGATTAATTTGATTATCAAAGTCTCGCTTCAAGGACAAAGGTGGTTAATCAGAACCCAGAGCATTTCAACAGAGTATGGAGTCATCCCGGAGAGACCACAATTAACTCTTCGTTTCTCCTATGGCATGTAGGCCTGTGTTCTTCCTGTGTTCTCCCTCCAGCTCTTCCAAGGCTACAGGTCAGCCCACTGGAGAGCTGAGCCAGGCATCGCTCCAGCTCACGCTGCCATTTGAGTGAGCAGCACCAAACCACCGACGCTCTGGAGGCACCACTTGGCTCAGACAGGTCTTTGGGTCTCACAACGCAACAAACAGCAGCAGGGGCAAACTGGAGCTTCTGCGTGGGGGCTTTAATTATCTTTCATCAAAAATAAGACTACTGACATGGTGTAGATTCAACGGAGTCAAGCTCCATTTAGTAGCGCATGCAATTACAGGCACGTTCTCTGACATAAGATCCTGCCTGCTCCAAGAGCCTCCCATTTTACAAGCCTGAGTTGTGCTCCATCCTTCCATCTGCAGTTGCACTGCAGCCTCTCACATGCACACACACATACACACACCCCCCTCCCCATTTTCTCTTAGATAGGAAGGCAGTGGGACCAGGGATATGAAATTAGCATCAGATTTCTTTAGGAAAACATTTTAGCATTACCCAGGGAAGGCAGATGGGGGAGAAATAGGAACACGAGAGTAGAAAGGGAGCTAAATAAAGAGCAGTAGCGACTCCTGAGGGCAACGCGCAGGCTCGCCATGGTACTCACTCAGGCTGCCCAGCTGTCGAATGACATTTGCCAGGGTGATGTTGGTCACGCATTCCAGCTCGCTCGGAACGCTAGGCAACGTCTGACGGCACAGGTGCCTTGGCTCAATGTTCCTCGTTACTAACGGCATGGTGGACCTGCTTCAGGCACTGTTCTGAAAGATGAAAAACAACCCAAAAAAGAAACAGGAAAGGATTACTCAACCGCAAATTCCAGGCACACCAGAGCCATGGTGTTCGTTTTTCCTGCTCTCAAACGGCTTTACTTATAAGCCTTCTTTTCCTTGCTCCCCACCCTGAGAAAACTGGTTCATCAGAAATAAAGATCCTCCTGTTCTCTGACTTGCAGTGGCAGCAGAGCCCCACCAGCCCAGGTACAGAGGCAGAGATGGAGAACTCCACATCTTCGCCCACACTGCCGCAGCCGCTGGTCCCTCCCTACCCACCCGCAGCCTGGACAGGCCTCCTGCCTCCCGCGCTCACACAGCGCCTGGCACAGCTCTTACGAGCTCCTCTTCGGAAACATTTCCAACTTGCAATCAATAGTTGCTTAAACCGTGGAGATGAGGACAGGAGATGTTATTACATAAAAAAAGAAAGAACAAAACAGGCTTCTCCCAGCACGCCAAAGCACACGTGGTGCCTCCCTCCTGGAGCAGCACACGGGGCTCTCCTGGAACAACAGGAAGCGCTTGCAGCTGACCAGGAAACTTTCTGGTGACTGTTCCTTATCCTGCAGGCTGCACCCCTCTTCCCTTGGGAAATCCCCCGGGGATGAGGTTTACACTGGACCATTGTTTTCCTGCTAGAGCAGTTAAAGGTTGAGGGAGCTCTAATCAGGATGCAGGACTGGAGTGTGCTCAGAGGCAAGTCAGGACTGATTGTACAACAGGCAGGACAAACTTCCAATTCTTTAAAAAACTAATAACATAAAAAACCTGGAGAAAACCTAAGTGTCTGGAAGTTAAGCTTTGGACACTTTTATGTGCAGGTCAGTGTCTTGAACTAACAAAAATGTCCTTTGCTAACAGGCCCAAATGTTTAAGCATCAAACAGCTCCCTCCCAGATCGTCCAGCTCCAAGAGGGAGAAGGAAACCTGCGTGACCAGCTCACTAGAAGGAGCATCATACATGCCTGAAATCTTTAGGACTAAGTGAAAACAAATACATCCCAAGTTCTTGATTAATTTAGAAGGGGAAAGAATCACTTTTCTAGGTCAGCTGAGGAACAACCCAAGAGAAGCAGGCAGCTCCCATGTGATAGGCATGCGGATCTGCTTGGGCTGGATGTAAAAATAAAACAGGAAGCGAACAGCTTGGGGAACATGGCTTCCTGTCACCACCAGCAAAAACCCAAGAACCATAAAAAATCAGCTGTTTGCTCTTGACTTTGAGCCACCCTTTGATAGTCTCTGTGGCAGCTGGCAGCTTATCTTTGAGGTCCAGGAGTCCTTCCTGGATGCTTTTCTATCAGGGTGTTAAGAGGAAGAAGTGGGCATTATCCCTCCTAATTACCTCAGAAGCCAGATTTTGAATTGCTAAATTTGACCCATTAAGGCAGAGGAGTTCAAGAGCCGCAGCACCGGGCGCTGGGATATCTCCCAGACAAGCAGATGTAGGTTGCTGCCATTTTGCAACGCCTCTATGTGAGGGATTTCACAGCACCTCAGAATGCCAGGATGGTTTGGGTTGGAAGGGACCTTAGAGCTCCTCCTGTTCCAACCTCCTGCCATGAGAGCAGGCTGCACAGACAGGGTTCCCAAAAGCGAACACCTTATTGAACAGGGGAGCCAGATCTGCATCCAAATAAATGAAAGCAAGACCCTCTAAGGATCGAGTCCGTGTTGTTTTTCCCCGTGTCCACTGCAGCCATCAGTAACTGCTGGGATATTTAAAGAACAGGGTGAACTAAGGAAGGGCTCTGACCTTCCCTTCCCAACACCCCGTGGTTTATCGATTCCAGCCCAAGCCCTACAATCTTTTGTCAGCTTTAGTGCTTCATGCCAGACAAACTTTCCCAGCTCCCCCCAGACTGCAGTCTGCACCAACAAGCAGCTCTCATAAACAAGGCAGCATTTGCAGGCTGCCTGCATCCAGCTTCTCCCCTGTGCTTCCCCAGGGCTTGGCCAGGAGCACACACGGTGGGATCTGCAGAGCTGGACTGGACAGCCTGGCTGGAAACCTTCCAAGGTGGAGGACAGACAGAGGGAAAACAGCAACAGGAAAAATAAGCCTGGAAGTGGGGGATGAGATGTGAGCAGTCTGTATAAAAGGAGACAAAAAAAACCCCAAGATGATGGGTAGCATGGTTGGATAAATACAGGCAACACTGATCTCTGCAAAGATGGGGAAAACAAGGCAGAAAATGGTAGCAGTGCCTCCAATACAAAAAAAAAAAAAAAAAAAAAAAAAGGCTCTGAATACATTGCCTGTATAGAGACACCCCAAAAGTGTTTGCCTTCAAAGTATGTTTTGAAAGTAAAGGCAAGGAATAGTGGTGAAAACTGCTTTTCTTAAAAGAAAAACTAAGACAGAGCGCATGTACAGCACAAATTTTCACTGGCGCAAGACAGCAGAGATAAAGGCTAAGAAAAAGGCTCCCTTTATAGCCCAGCTCATCCTGCCAGCCACCCCCACCCTCCCAGCCACACTCCACTGCAGAAGGAGAGTTCTGTCCTCCTGATCACAGCAGTGCTTCCCAAGGCCGTGGGGACAGCTTTGCTGCCCTCAACCCAGCCAGGATCCAGCAAACGAAGGGATTAAACTACCCCGTGGAGCATCACAGATGATCAAGGCAAGAAGGGCAGGACGGGCTGTGGACACCCATCCTGTTCTTCCAGCAGCTTTTGGGTAAGAGGCATTTTACAGCAAAAATTCCTCTCTTCTGAGCAGAAGGATGAGGAGCTTCAAGGTTTTACAAAGGAAATCTGGGACCTGCAAAAAGAGTGGGTGATGCCCCTACAAGAAGACTGTTAAGACCTTGCATTTTCCTGGAGTGTTTGGAGGGTAGGGATAGAGATAACAACTAATGGACTCCTGTAAAACCTTCATGCCTCATGAGTAGGTGGGACAAAGATTAATAGTGTGGACTGGAAAATAAGTGGCGTATTTCAAAATAAGTGGTGTATTTGTGGTGTATGGTCAGGTAGGGTAGAAAACCAGGTGTGGTGAAGGGGCAAGGTATGAGAGCAAAGGGGGAAGGGGGAAGAGGAAGCAAAACCCTGGAGGCAGCACAAGACATGAGCTGGAGGCAGGGAGGGAGGAGACACCGTAAATAAAAGAAGGGACAGAGCTAAAAAAGCTTTCTGGGAGGCTCATGCTCTTATTCTTTAAAAGAGTCATTAAGGAGGTGACTGACAGCACAGTGCCAAGCACGGGCCATCCAGAACCACTTCACTTTCCATGCTCAGGGCATGACAGCACAGCAGAATTGCACCCCGGCTGGCCAGCCTGGTCATCAAGCATTAGTCACTGTCACACAATGACCACAGACCATATATTATAACTAAATCCTACCATTCAGATGCAACTTAAATAAATTGCAAGGCCAAAAATCCTTATCTTTGGGGCAAAGATTAGCATTTCTATTTGCTTATGAAAGCTGGAGATTAGATTTCTTTCGGGAGTGTAGAGTTTTGGGGTGCAGACTCTGTTTTTAAAGAAGCTGCAAGAATGACATGGGCACAGAGGAGCTGTCCTGATCCCAGTGTAACAGGAGAGGAGATCAAGTATGTTAGAAGTAAAAGGAAACTAACTGCCTCTAGAAACAGGAAACCCTGCAACAGATTTCTAATGAATATGGAAAACAAAGAAAGGCATCAAATTGAAACACAGTGAGAGGAAAGAATTTCAGTGATCTCTGCTGGCTGGAAGAGCCCTAAGGAAAATCCACAAACCTTGCTGCATCAATCCACGTTCAAAAGACTCATCCTCCCAACCACTGTGCTTCACACCTTCTTAAAAACATAGAAACAAATTACTTTCCTCTCCCACTTGAACCAAACCCTTCCTACCTGCTCCCAAGCACTTCCTCTGAAGCCTCCAAGTTATGACTTGAATCACAGGAGGCTCCAAGAGCCTGGGTGATGTTGTGAGGGCAGTGACTAAAAGCCAAACCATCTGAAAAGGCCCAGCTCTTCGCCCCGCAGCTCCTTTCCCCTTGCTGCCCCACCTACAGCCGGGCATTGCCAGGATGCCTCATAATTTCCCCTCTCCCAAAATGCTTATGCAGGCTCTGCCGAGCCCTGGCCTGCTCCAGCCCAGAAAAAAGTTTGCCGAGCATGAAAAAGACCTGGAAGCTGAATTCACTGCTCCTACATTCCTCCTGATCTTCCAGCCTCAACTGGCACCTTGTTTCCAGGATTCATTAGGTTTTTGCTCCCCATCATCCTTCCCAACAACTCCTGTCCTTTCTCACTGCACACATCGTGGTCTTGGACACCTCATGCTTTTCCAAGAAGGCAGGATCCATGAGTAGAGCTTCTTCCCATGGCTGCAGAGCTGACACCCTGCTCCTGCCACAAAAAGACCCCACCTTGAATATCCTGCCCACCAGCTTTTAACAGGATTCTGACTTTGGCAATTAGCTCTGTAAATACTCTTGGGCACTGGGGAACAAGCATGGCCCAACACAGGCTCAAAAAGTGGGAAAAATGTGTGACTTGCAAGTCTTGCCTTTCCGAATCCAGCACTTTAAGCAAAGCTGAGGTAAATCCAAGATAAGCGTGCTGCTCCAAGATTTCTTATCAGCAAGCCATCGACCGCTCTCCCCATGAGCTCTGCTGCAGCAGATCACTCAGGAATCCCAGTTCTGGATTAGAATCAAGTACAATTGGTTTGTTTCAAACAAGAACTGCCAGTCCATAAACCCCTCGCACAAAGCTGGGTCTTATTGACTATTTTTAATAAATAGGGCTGGCACAGTAAAATTGAACAATTGCTAGGAACAATAAAGGAGACAGACTTTGATTACAACTATTGAGAAGCAACACTGGGATGTTTTAGCATTGAGTATTTGCTTTCCAAGGTGAGTTCTGTCAACTGAAAACAGCAACTCAGAGCAAATACTCCTTAGAAAGTGGTTTGGAGCACAGCAGAAACAGCTCTGCACAGCAAGAGAGGAACCAGACCTGGTTTTGGTTTTTTTTTTTTTTTGTAGAGCAGGCAGATAGCACAGTCACTGTGGTGGTGCAGAGGAGAAGGCAGGCAAGACTCCAAGGCGAGCCCTGCGGATGCAACACACACAAAAAGCTGTAAATAACAGGTGAGGTGGAGGGAGAGATCTGGCAAGGTTCTCCTCACTGGTATTTGACCAGTTAGCATAGCGTTACTGGGAGTCACCTGGGTAATTCCCTGCTCAATGTGACACACAACCTCTTAGATCAGGGACCATCTGCAAATAAATCTGGACCCCAGCAGTGAGATCATCTGTCATAGTGTCTGGTGTAGCACAAAGCACCTAAGGAGGGCAGAGTGCTTTTTTTGGGAAAGGGATGGGAATTTAGGTTTGATTTCCAAGTACGTCAGGGTGACCAAGCACCCTACCCTCAGCAGGGCTTACAAAATCCTCCGCCCGGACACAAACAGGCAGCACAGTCAAGGAGACCAAGCCTTCAGCTAAGCTCTTTGGAGAGCCGCCTCTAGGAGTGCC